TTGATCAACATCGCATGATTATTTATAACCTCCAATGTCAGTTTCACCCTAGGTTTCATTTGGGTACATGGAGCAGTGCGGATTCAGTAAGGGAGTAAAACATAGGAAACAACCACCTACCTGTCTTTGTCAATTGGAAGGAATGATGCGAGTTTTTTGAAGTCGTGCCATGGACCGTGCTCTCGGCTTGGCTGACTGATCTTGGCTTGGATCGCATGCATGTTTAGTTGAGATAGGGGCTGAGATGGGATTGAGCAGCTGCAGCCGAGCACTTGATTAAGACTGGATCTGTACACTGCCCAATCAATAAAAAAACTAGCAAACCATCATCCAAGTGCAAGCAATAGAAGGGGATGCAGGAGGAAAATCAATGGAGAAGCACATCTCTGAGTTGGCTTCTCCCGAGCGAGCAAAGTGACGATCGAAAGTTCAACTTTGGGCAACAACGAAAGATTCGACGGGATCAAATCGATAGCTGGATGCAAGCTGGAAAGAGATACTGGAGGAAAATCAACGGAGTTGTGCTCTGGCTTGGCGTCTTCCCGTTGCGCTCTCTTGCGCGAAGCCAAGCAGTGAAAAGTGAATGAGGAAGACAATGTGTACTCCGTGGGATACTGGGAATTTTGTGGGTTGAGAATTTTTTCTTTCTTAAATTATGAAATTTTAGGGGCTGTTGGTGATCAATTATTGATTTTTATTTTTTTTATTTTTTAAACTAAAAAATTAAAAATAGTGTTTGTATTTTTTTTATTTCTTATTTTTATTTAATGAAAGAACATTTTTTTTTAAATACTAAAAATTAGAAAACACATCTTTTGAACTCTTTTTACAACGGCAAACAACATTTCCCCTAACTCGCCGTCACCAATGTAGTTGCCACTGTCGCCCACCGCCAACGCCTACTACCACCGCCAGCCGCCAAATCCCCCCACCCGCAGCACCATCCGGCGGCCGCAGCCCTCTTCCGCCCATCACCCGCCTACCTACGTATAATATTTCGTGCTATGTGGAGCAAGGAAAACTTCATATACTAATATTGGAGCGTATCTAGAGTCGACTATTTTATAAAAAGTATAGACTTTTTCTTTAAAAAAATAAAAAAATACCCAAACAAAAAATGGTTTATATTTAAAAAAATATATAATATATAACAGCACCAAACGTGTTTTCTAAATACTTAAAACTGCAAAATAAAACAAAACAAAACAGACTAAAAACAAAAATAAATATAGAAAATAGATAGTGATCTGGAAGCTATTGAAGAGTCCATGTGAGTAAAATGTATTCTCATAAGTTTTAAATGAAGAAGTTTGGTTGGTCATTTTTTAGAGAAATTGGTGCCAACGATCGTCCTGCACCACGTTGCACACAGGGTGTCTCGAACCCTAATTTTCTCGTAGCGGACGTAGGTGGACTTAGTGACATCCTATAGTCGTGGGAGGCTCCGGATGAACATGTGATGACTTCTAATCATTATATTAGGCATCAAGCATGTCTCACATCTCGGAAATGCCTCCCGGAGAGAATCTTCTCGGGTATGGCTAAATCGCCACCAAACCTAGCTTACTTGCTCTGAACAAGTGTTAGAAGGTCCTAAATGGGTCTATTGAGCTATCATATGTTATGAACAAATCGCAGACAATCCTAAGTCATGCAGGTGGATACCCTATACTTGTGACAACAAAACTTGATGTCAATAGTGTCTCATGAGGACGTGTCCTCTTAGGCTTATGTCTTATAGGAGCTTAAAATGATCTGGTATCTTCTACAGCTCGTAGCCTTCAGTGATTTTTTTTTTAATTGTGCCTTCTGAGGCTTATAGTCTTTTAAGGTTTTCGATGTACCCACGTTTTCCGAGGATTGTGCTCTTATGATGTCCTTTAGTGCCCCGTACTTTCTAGGGCTTATAGCCCTCAGAGGTTTTTGATGTACCTATGTCTCTTATAAGGCTTGTAGCTTTCTCCGGTCTTTGAGTGGAGACTCTGTCAACCACTTGCTTTAGTGGAGTCTTTCTAGTAAGGATCATGTTTACCACTAACCTTCCATCGAGACTTTTCTATTGAGCTCATCTCCCAGGGGCATGATAACTTCTCATTGAGTATTGCTTATTTGGCCCGACTTCCATGAGTACCATATATTAACACCGAGTGTTATCACTTCACATTGGCTTTCAGGGTCATGGTAGCTTCTCATCGTCTTGTCGTCCAACCACTTCGACTCTACTTCCAGGGTCATGGTAGCAACTCATCAAGTCTTATCACTTGGGCTCGACTTTCAGGAGTATTGTATCTTCCCATCGAGTCTTGTCTCTTAGACTTGACTTTCAAGAGTATCGTATATTCCCTTTGAGTCCTCCTCTTGGGCTCTACTTTTAGAGGAATTGTTGAAAGAGGATTTCACTAAGGAAGTGAGACTAGTTATGAGTTGTATAACTGAATATGCTCGATAATATTAAACCGTAACAGACATAGTCATATGAAATCCACTGAAGATGATTGACCTATCATAGGTTGTTGGTCGAAGCTTTTGTTTTAAAAACGCAGCCTGTCAAGGAGGAGGTCAAAAGAAATCCACCAGGGATTTTTTACCTATCTAAGGTTATATGTCGAAGCTTTTACTTGACGATTGTAACCTATAATGAAAAAGATCGAATCAAGTCCCATTTGGATCAATTAAGACTAAAATGAGGTGTCAGGGATGTTCTACATTTATTGAGATTAACACGTAGATCGCAATTGAATATATATATATATATACTTATCATAATATATATATATATATATTAAATATAGTTGCAGTCATACTCAAGAATAATGATTGACAAATCGTTAATTGCTGCTTTTGAATCTTTTTGCCCTTAGAGGGGGTGTTTTCCATGCGACTTGTATACAACACATGTATTTGGCCTTAAAGAGGACAACTTTTTAATCTGGTTGAAGAAGAACTTCGGTACATTTTGTGGTGAAGCTTGCCTACTATTCCATAAGTGATTCTCGTAGTTGTGCCCGGGACGTTTACATGAACGACTTTTTGAGATTACGGTGAAGGTTGCCCCCAACCTAAAAGAAGTTGTGAGATACTTTGTCTAAATATGATGTGAAAATACAACCCACTAGAATTGTGCTCGAAATGTTGACATGAACGACCTTTTGAGACTACGGTGAAGATTGTCAGGAATGCTCTAGGGATGATTTTCAAGATGCAAAGAAGGTTCATTCTCCAGTTTGATGATATACATCATCGTGAAATGAAGTAGGGGATCGTCTTCTCAGAGCGAAAGACAATGTCAAACGGTGTTTAATTTCCCATGAACCGTGCCAAACTGATGCATGCTAGAAAATTCATGGTGGTAGAGTAATGAATTATCGTATTAGTGTTGCACATGAATTCAACACACACTTCAGTGAAAGAAAATAACCAACAATGACACTAGAAGTTTTTACGTGGAAAACTCATGAAGGGAAAAAATCACGCGCGCAAGCCCAATTGTAAGAATCCACTATAAGTTGGTGATTACAAAAACTTTTTGTCCCACAATCGAGAAAAGGGTTACAAGGTTTTTCAAGTTACAATGCCGATTGATAACTTTCGGTAGGTGATGGTCGACAGTGATTAGTGATGATTGACGGTGGTCAGCAGTCGATGACGGTCGGTGGTAGTTGACGACAATAGTAGTGCTCCACAGAGGTCAGTGGTTGTCAACTGCGGCGGACAACGGTCGGTGGGGGTTTGCAGCAACGATCGACAGCGACAGGAGGGAAGCTGAATTTCAGCTAATTCTCAAAGCTTTAAGCTCTCTCCGAAGCCTCTAGCCCCCTTTTCATGAGAAGGGTGAGACTCTATTTACAATGTTATTAGTGCAATTAATGTAGAAATATGAAACACTTCAATTAGACGATCTGAAGAGCTTTCTTCGATCAAACAACTTTTGATTGACATTTAAGTGACTTAACGATGTCAGAATTGAGCAATATTGGGTTCGTTGGATTCGTCTTGTCGAGACACTTTATGACTATATGCTTATTAGATTTGACATTCGTTGAATTTTCTAAATATGTCTGAAAAACTTTCAAGAGTTATTTAATGACTTAATTTGAGATTGATTTGACTCAGATTAAACTAATATTGTGCTAACATCTATAAGTTTGTTGGAATTTAAGTTTTGTATGAGTTTTTTATCAAGATTTGAATATTTATTGTTCATAAATTCACCTTGAGATCTATATCATTCCTCGAGATTTGTGCTTGATGATGGAGATTTGTCTGACATATCACTCCTATGTGTGATCTTGTAGTCATTTAGATCCAATCTTGCACTTTAGGCAAAGCTTTTGAACCAGAACGATGAGCAAATAATGGATTCAAATGTTGATTACGGTATGTTTTATTCTCTTGATTATGATGAATATTATTTTTGACATACACAATATAAAAAAATCTATCATATATATATATATATATATATATATATA